GCTTCACACTTGGGGCACACATCCAAGTCTTTGTATTCGTCTTCACGGTACAATATGCAATCACTGGAACACATGTGGATTTTTTCAATCTCGAGGCCGATGGGACAGATCATTTGCTTGGTCAGGTTTGTCTTTTCTGACAACTCATTTTTTCTGGGAGCATTTTTCTTATTATACCTAACAACTGATCGAAGCCTTTATCGCTCAATCCGTTTATCGATTGAACTATAACAGCATGATGTCGGCTTCCAATTTGCTCATTGGACAATTCTTATACAATGGTATTTTGCCATTTATCTTATTTTCTCTAGCTTTCTTAGCTGTCTTTCACTAAGACATCCGGTCTCTATATTACGTAGCAACTGAGAAATGCCATCATTATCCTCGGTGTCGTCAGCTAGCGTGTTCTTAAACACATCATTAACTGTGGCCATAAGTTCCGTGTTGACACCGGATTCCTCGTCAGCATCGTGGATGGCTACGACAGGCATGGCCATGTCATCATCGTTTTCCTACAGAACAGTCACACCAACCTCACCATGCATAGTCCATATCGTATAGTTTGACATGAACCCTCTAGTAAACTTTGCATGGGCAGAAGATAGGGTTTCCATTACTAGCATGGGCTTTGGCATTGGTGATAAACTGGCTGACGTCATGCATGTACTGCTTGTCCGTTCGGGATAGATGCATCCACTCTCGATCCGTCTCTGCAAAAAAAAAATATTGAGACAGTAATTACAGAGAAATTAATAAGAAGTCGAGCTTCATGAACAACAATTGTAGCTCAAAAGTACCATTTATTCTACACTTATTTAATTTAGTCACCCCATTTTTGAAAAATATTATTGTACATTAATTATTGGAAAATTAAAATTGGTAGCCCCGTCCATATAAATTGAAAATCGTAGCCCCATAAAAAATAATTATTGTACAATAATGAAGAACAATTGTTCTACTCGATGCCACATAAAAATGGAGACACTATTTTTTTTTAAAAAAGACTAAAATTAGAGACATGACCATGAACAATTTAGCTCCAAACAATGTGTTGGTAGGTGACACATGGATTAATTTGCTCACTAAAATTGTAAAAGAATCTACTCTACTCTTATTAAGAACTAGTTATAGCATCACATACTAACAATGATCTTAACCACCATGTAATTAGCTAGGATTTTAAATGTGTTCAAATACACCAGCCTTTTGGATGATGGATACACCACAATTTGCATGCAAGCCTTGCACAAAGTCCAATTGGAAAAGTGCTATCTAGAATGGAGAAAGAACTAGAATGAGAATCAAGCAATGTAGCCATCAAAATAACGCTAATTAAGCAACAAAATCAAAGAAGTGGATGATTGTTACTAACCTTAAAGCAAAAAGATCAAGCCATTCTTCCAAATCCAAGAGCTGATTTTGAGAAGCAATGCATCGTGAACCAATATATATATCGTCTGCTAATACACGGGCTTCACGGTGAAGAGTAGCCGCAACAATGGAGGGAGCGGCCCAAACGCGAGCCTCTATGCTCGGGATGGAAGAGAGGAGGAAGGATAGGATGGCGCTAGCTTTTTGTACTGCTATTTTATCACCGTCGGTTCTTGGCTCGAACCGACAGTGATAGCACCAAATCACTGTCCGCTCTTGATTAGAACCGGCAGTGATAAGTGGCCGCCAACTCGTTGCCGGTGTAAGCCCCAAACCGGCAGTGATGTGGTCCTTCACTGTCGATTTTAGCCTAGCCCCAATTATTTTCTTATTTTTAAGCTTGGAACCGGTAGTAAAGGTACATCACTACCGGTTCTCACAAATCCGGTAGTGATGAGGCCGGCAGTGATGTCCAAATCTGTAGTAGTGTACCCTTCCACTTGCTTGGTGGTGGGCCAAAGCCTTCGTCGGAGAATGATGGCGAGTCAGGCCATATACCGGTGTCGAGCATATCGATGATGATGATGTCTTCCTCCAACGGTAGTTCTTCAATGGGCGTTTGGAGGAAGCCAAGGAAGTCCCAAGATCTTGTGGTCAAAAGATCGAGGGTCCTACTTGGGAAGACTGAGACAACGCCATTGATGCCTAAAGGTAACAAGGAAAAAAAATATACCGTTGATATATCAATTAAAAGTTGATATATATGTTTGTATTCATCCAGCTATCCCTTCATCTTGCATTGATGTCTCTACGTCCTTGTGACATATAGGTCACAAATAAACCTCAATCCACAATCACAAAAGAAAATGATTGAAACGAAGAGCATTTTAATTGTCACAAACCTGACAGTTTATGTGCCTCTTCTTTGCTTAACTTGGCGGCAAAGCCATTTAAGCTTCTCTTGTAACTACGGAGAATCCTGTCCGAAGCAGAGCTGCAAAAAGACAAAAATTCATTGGCTCTTGTATGAAGACAATCTTTTTCTATGTTTTCTTTCGTTTTCGAAGCCAACATTAGCATCGATTCCAATCCGTTGGGACACGAGCAGCATAAATGCCCGGCCTTTAGCGGCGTCCCCGATCTGATGCTCCCGGCCGCCTCCGTCTCTCCTCGCCGCTACCGCCACTTGTGGGCTCCGCTTCGTCCGCGCTGCGCGGCCGCCTCGAGCTCGAGACCGCGTCGGCTGTATCTGTGATTTTCTCTTTCTTTTGGGGATGCTGCAGAGCGAACGCTGAGGAGCGGCGAGGAGTTTTGATTCACGTGGCCTCTTCAACTGGTGGCGCTGCGAACCCCGCCCCCAGCCATCACCGACGCGCGCGGCCTCCACCGGCGCAGGGGCGGCTCACGCCGACAGCTCGGCCGCTCCCACCACCGGCCGCTCCACAGCCACCTCTTCAACTGGTGGCGCTGTGAACCCCGCCGCCTGCCATCTCCGACGCGCGCGGCTTCCACCGGCGCCCGGGCGGCTCACGCCAACGGCTCGGCCGCTCCACCGCCGCCGCCTCCTGTGGAGCCCGCGCCAATGACGCCCGGGGATGAGGACACCACCACGGACGCCACCACAGCCGCAACGCTGACGGCCGAGGGCGCCAGCTCTGGCGCTTCGTCCTCTCCGTCGCTGGGGCTGGATGCCAGCAACGCCGCGGCCACGGCCGGGCCTCGGGGTACCGTCACGGCGTCGCTGGACGCCCCAAGCTCCTCCCTCTCGCCGGCCGCGGCACCGCTCTTCCCCGGATGCTCCTCGGGAGGGCGTTCGAAGAGCCGGCGGTGGGCGAACGACGACGAGGAGACTGATGACGACCACCCCGCGACATACCTGGAGGCCGCTCGTCGCCCGGAGAAGCCTGCCTCAGCGCCCCCCGTGCGCCCCCAGACTCGTTCAGCCGCAGTTTTGGGGCGCCGCGGAGTGGGGCCTTTGCACGGCCGTGCTGGTGCTGAACGGGGCCGACAGGGACATGGCCGTAGGCGGAGGAAGCGCAGCCGGCCACGCCCGTAGCTGGTGAACGGCTTGCCTGTGCGGCCGGTGGATGGCCGTGTCCATGCCCGCCATCGCCTCGGCCGCCGTGGACGGGTCTCTGCCCCCAACACCGATGGGTGGCGTGAGATCCTCCCCCGGCAGGTCACAGGATCTGGTGCGGCCTCGACCGAGCCTCGCCCCAGTCAGAAGCAACTTTCACAGGTCAAGAAGATCCCGGCAGAGCTTCACGGCAGATGCTTCAACTGTCTCTCCTACTCGCACCGAGTAGCGACTTGTCGGTTGCCGCGGCGTTGCCTGCGTTGTCGCGGATTTGGCCACCTCATCAAGGACTGCAGGCGAAGGACTGCTTCGACCTCGGCGGCGGTGGGTGCCAACATGCCACGGTACTCTACTCGCAACGAGCCTACGTCCTCCCAGCACGCGCCGCGCGGCGGTGCGAAGGGTGCAGCACTGGGGGCCGTGGTGGCCGCCGGTGGGACACGACGACGACGTCGGCAACGCAGGACTAAGCCGAAGGATATCGGCATGGGTGTTCCTGCCGACCACGACGACAAGGACCCTACTTCTTCTGCTGCACTAAGCTGCCCTGAGCCAGATCCGGTGGCGCTGGCGCTGTGCGTGAGTGCGGGGCCTCTCGCATTGGTCATCTCTTTCGACCCCATGCTGGAGGAGCTCGCCGCCTCGCTCGTCGTGAGCCAACCAAGGAGAGCAGCAACTCCTGAGTGTCTGCCTGCTACGACAGCCCCTCAGGAGTTTGAAGCACCAGTGGTGGACACCTATTGCTCGGCGGCGGCTGCTCAGTGGACGACAGACTTGTCTCTGATGTCGCCGGTGCAGGGGCCGCCACAACTCACGCCACCACGAGCGGGTGCAACCAGCGTCGCAGAGGGTTGCACCACCCCCAGTGACGTGACGCCCACACCACGCGAAGCTGCCCGACGTCTCGCACGGTTCACTGAGGAGGTGCAGCTCGAGCATATGCCGCCATTAATCGCCACCCCACCCAGGCAGAAGGTGGCGACCATAAGGCAACCCATGCCAATACGGAGCAGACGGATTGCCGCTCAGCCGCTAGCGCACATTCCGATCTCCAAGCAGGGCGAGATACTCCTCATGAGGAGGATGGGCTTTGCACCGCCGGCAGGTCCAATCTCATCCGCGTCCAAGAGAGCTTACGACGACTTTTTCGCAAGGAACTTGACGTCGAGCGAAGTGGAAGCACTGGACGTGCTGTTCCCGGCGACCAATGCTACGACTGGTAGAAGACTCTTCTCGGATGACGGAGCAGAGTCGCGTGGCCGCTAGCGGAGACGCCCAGCTCTGTAGGTTACTGCACTGCTCGTAGTTCGGTTGTTACTTTTATGTAATATCGAAGTTTGAAACAGTCTGTTAGGAAGGTCTAGTCACAACTGTAAGACCTCCTAGGGCGCTCATTAGAAGCGTGTCGTATGTATGGTTAAACTCTTTCTCTTCTTAATTACAATGATACGCAAATCTTTTGCGTATTCGAGAAAAAAATCCATTGGGGCACTTGTATCCGTTTCTTTTGACAACTAATAGCCTGACCAAATAAAAACAGAGGCCTGGATTGCTAGCTACTTCTGTGGTAAAAAGAGGGAGTTTTCGACCTGCCGTCGTCGAGGACCTCATTCAACAGGTCGTGATGAGCAAATTCTACAGCAGAGAAACCTTCAGGTTCTGACGCATCCGTGCTGGCCGGTAGATGCCCCAAGTACACGATGTAGACCTGCTTATCATGATCAAACAGAGGCGCTAAAGTTACTATGCAGATCCTGGAAAGAAAAGAACACATGACACAACCAACAACATGCTACAAGCACGCATGCTAGCAACTGGCAGCAACAAAATCTGCATGCATGCTGATGGATAGATGATCCGTCTGAAACCTCGTCTCCATTGCCGATGGATTCAGAGGCGCTCACGCTCGCGGCGAAGACAGTGACGACGAGGAGCAGAAGCAGCAGTGTTCTGGCAAGAGGCATCGTAGTATCCTACGTGTTGGAAGCTTCTTCTTCTTTTCTTTTTTTTTTGAAGGAAATCTTGTTGGAAGCTTGGTGCAGAGTGGCAGCGCATATATATGCGTGTGCATCAGCGACGATAGGATGAGAGCAGCCGTGCATCAGATTGCAGCGCGCATTGCTTGCTCCGTAGCCTTGTGCAGGATTGGAAACATCGCAGGGGCTTGGCGCTCAGCGTCGTCCGTCCAGCTGGGCGCCCTGTCCGGAAGCATGCCGTACTTTCCACGAAATATCTCGGGCTCCAGCTGGTGCCGTAATAATATTCAGCGTGTGCTGAGTCGTAATAATATCTCGTTTATTAGTTTTTTTTGGGTGCATGTCTGGGAAAAGGGCAAGAAGACTACTAGGATTTATGGTACTTGGAATTATGATATGTAGAAGATACTTGTAGAAACTTTTGTGGAATGAAATAACAAGGGTGATAAGGGATTTGCTAAATTTCAAGTGTCTGAATTTTAGTTTTCTCTCGGGTGGCGGTAATTGCATATATTTAATACTAAAATTGTAGTTTTAATTCGTTCCAATTTCTATAGTGTAACACCCTAAAATTTGCATGGTTTTAAATCAGGAGAAAATGATTTAATTATGTATTTTGTGAGCATTGAAATTTAGAAAAATAATAACTTTGTTAAAATTAAAATTAAATATAGGTCTACGTACATGTATTTGCATACATGCTGCTGCATATTATTTTTGAATTGTGTTATTTTAAATCAAACTTCAAATTGATTTGAATTTGCATTTCAAAATTGGTTTGAAAAAATAGAAAAATAAAAAGGAAAAGGATTTTCTTTCCCTCCTCTCTATTCGGCCTGTTGGCCCATTTCCGCCGGCCCAGCTCCGTTCGCGCGCCGCTTCGCCCGCGCGGCCTGCTCTCCTCTCCCCCGCGGCCCAGCAAGCGTCGGCCCAGCTTCGCTCGGCCCGTAGCCAGCAGCGCGCTGCGCCGCCCTTTCCTCCCTTGTGACGCTGACGGCCCGGCCCCAGCTGTTAGGGTCTTCCCTTTCCTCCGCTCGTGTCCGCTCCAGACTTCACCGCCTGGAGTCCGCGTGCGCCTTGCCGCCGTGCCCCGGTCTTGGTGTGCGTGCCACGCCTAGGCCCTACAAAACTGAGCAATAGGTGCGCCGCTTCCCTCTGCCAGCCCTAGCGCCGCCTTGAGCATAGCAGCGAAGCCGCAGCCCTAAAATCACCGCCGCCGAGCTTTCCACGCCGCTATTCGCTTCATCGCCGACGAGGAGTACTTGCCTCACTTTGGGACCAGGTAATGAAGCTGCCCGCTTAACTGCGCCCCCTCTTTTGCTTTTTGCCACCCTCATGCCGCTGCCGTAACCTCGCTGACAAGCCCGAGCCACCCCAACTGAAGCGTGCCATCGAAGCCCCGTCCGACCCCCAAGATGAATTCGCCATCTTCTGCTCTTTCTCCCGGTGCGTTCGCTTTGCTTTCCCGTGGATCGTAGGTCATGAATCACTTGCGCCGCCTGTCCCCAGCCATGGCACCGCCGTGGAGCTCGCCGCCAACCTCGCCGGTGTCTCCCATCCCTTCCAGATCTGTTTTGAGCCGTCCAATCTGAGATCAAGGGCCCAGATTAGAAGATACCCCTTCGCCTGTTATTTTGCAAAAACGCCCTTATAATTATTTGGATCTCAACCCGTCGTCCCTGCAATTTTGTTAAAGAGACACTATATTTCTTCGTTTTCATGCCCGCAATCCTTATTTCGGTTTAAAATCAAATTTTAATTATTTTAAATCTGAAAATCAAGTTTCATCTATTTACAAGACTGCCACTATCTTCTGTAGGCCATAAAATCTTCGTTTTAACTCCGATTTGATCCGTTCAAGTTGCGTTAGGTTCGTAATTCCATAATCTACATGTTCATATTACTGTTAAGTTTGTTTTCAACTTTTAAAATTTGTGGTTAGATTTAATCTATTATTTTACTAAAAGAAATCTTGTTTAATTCATAACTTTTTCATTTTAGCTACGATTTTTGTGATCTTCGCGTCTGTGTGTTCATAGTGAGAGGTAGGTTCATTTTACAAACTTTTCATCTTGATTTTATGCTGATTGGTGTATTGTTTTAATCTATAGCTTTTGTTTGCTATGCATGATTGCTTCTGGATGCTTGTATGTTGCTGTGATTATCGAGTATAGACGGTGAGCAATTTGTGGGAGACCAAGAGTATTATTTTGACGGGCAGGATCAGCAGGAGCACTTTGTTCAAGATAAGTATAGCATGGGATTATCCTTGTTTCCTATCGACTTTAATACATTAAATTTATGTTGCATGTGTCACCTTGATAGGGATTCCCTAGAATTGAACTTATACCTTGTCTCCTATATGATATGTAACACCCTAAAATTAGCTACTTACTAAAAAAAATAAAATAATTTCTGTTAATTATTTTGTGCTCATAAAAACATAGGTAAAAGAAAATTTTCTTTAAATTAAAATCCAACATAAGGGTAGCAACATGTTTACGCATACATACTATTGCATTGGTACTTTGTGATGAGTGGTTTAGAAAATAAATTCAAATCTCAATCTTCAAAATATTATTTTCAAGTAGTCACTACCGGAAACAGTCAATTTGCTTAGTGCAAGGGGGTTTGCCGAGTGCAATCCTTCGGGCACTCGGCAAACAAGCTTTTTGCCGAGTGCTGTGCGAAAAACACTCGGCAAAATAATTGCACTCGGCAAAAATGGGGTTTGCCGAGTGCCAAAAAAAACACTCGGCAAAGAAGGTGGTTTGCCGAGTGCCAAAAAAACACTCAACAAAAGAAGGGGGGTTTGCCGAGTGTTTTTTTTTTGCACTCGGCAAACAAGCTCTTTGCCGAGTGTTTTTTTAGCACTCGGAAAAGAAATATTTTTTTTCTCTTCTGACCTTAAAACTTTTTCAACTCTGCACATACAACATGTGCTACTCCATATTAAAATTTGGTATATTTTTGAATCAGTTTGCTATATTTAATTAATTTATTGCATTTTAAGCAATTTTTTGATTTAAGTCAAATTTGAACCGCAAGTGATTCAAACAATAGAATAAAATGAGTAAAAAATGATAGTCATGTTATTGAGTCCAGTGTGAGGCCTTACCTTGGAAATAAAAAAAAATCGAACATCTCGTTCAGGAAACACGACCACGAACGTGTGGCCGAAAGGTTTTTAAATTCTAAAAAAAGCAAACGAAGTATGAAAATCATGAGATTTGTCATGATATGATGATATCATACGTGGAGGCTATCGTAAAAAATTGATAAGGTTTCGCACGTTTTGTCAAGTACGATGTTTATAAACCGAAGCATCTTAGAAGAAAAATAGTATCATTGAGAAGGATTTGGTAAGATTTGCAGTTAAAGTGACGGTCGAATTGTGATTTGACTTCAAAACTTTTTGTATAGGCAATAGAGAACATAGATTATTTCATGTGAAAATTTGATAATTTTTTGGATCCGTTTGATCATTTTAATTTATTAAGTGCAATTATAGAATTTTAATTGATATAAATTAAATTTGAGCTATAACGACATGAAATAATAGAATAATATTCGTAGAAAAATTAAATATTTATTATTGAGTGAATTTGACAAGGTTTTTTCAAAGTACATCGAAACAAATTTTTAAAAATATGTTATGGAAAAGAAGAAAAAGAAAAAAAAAAAAAAAAAAAATTTGTCGAGTGCCTCAATTCTGACACCCGGCAAAGAAGGGGTTTACCGAGTGCCAGATCTCGCACACTCGGCAAACCCCCACTCATATACCCCGCATCCGGCCGCACACAGCCACACACGCGCAAGACACCCACACCAGCGCCAAGACACGCACACAGGCACACCCGTCCCGGCCGCGCCGGGCGCCCCTGCCCCTGGCCGCCAAAACTGAAGTGGCTTGTAATCCGACTTCTTGAGCTAATCCCAAGATCAAATTCGTGCACCATTTGTTCCCCTCTCCAAAACTGAAGTTTTTATTTTTGTGTGGTTTTCGGAGGCATTTTTAGTGATTTTTGGTTCGTCGAATTTGGCTGTGATTGGGGCGAAACTTCTTGAGGGATTTTGGTGCTAGGACATGTGTGATCAAGGCTAGGGTGATCCCCCAACAAATCCTTCACTTGAGCACCACGATTTTGTTTTTGGGGATTTTTCGAGTTCTCGCACGTGATCTGGATTTTCTGGAGTTTGAGCACGAATTGAGCGATGATTTCTTGGGAATAGCTTACCTACTCTGTGGTGATTGCCTATGCAAAGTTTGGGGACGAATCCTGGTGCCTTGACCGGTCAAAACCTGTGTGTGCTCGTGCAGACCCGAGCCTGCTCCCTCCCTCTGTTTGTAGTTCGGCGCGGCAGTGTCCAGTCCTCGCCGAAGCTCACTCGCCTCTGGTTGGCCGTGCTCAGCTTCCAAGCACCAATCGGTGCTCATCCATAACCCGTGCACGCACAGCACCAAGAGCAGGAGCAGCAGTTCACATTAATTGGATTTTCAGCAGCAGTAGGCTTTTGCTAATTCCATTTTCAATCAGCAACTTGGCTGGCTTCTTTCTTTTGCCACAGGGTGCAGGTTTGCAATGCTTTGGATTCAGAGCAGCAGCTGGACATGGATTCAGTGCTTGTGCAATATAAGCACATTGCTGTGAATTCATCAGTTTGAGCAGGTAAGCAACAAGTTTCAGTTCTCAAACTATCAATTGTTAGTTTTGTGCTTCACCGACCAATCATCCAGTAATTGTGACATGTTTACCTGCAGCTCTAATTAATTATTCTAGTGCTCGGTTCATACATGATTGGAATTAAATACTTGTTTAATCCTTCCTAGCTTTGAAATAGGATGCATGTGTGTCGGCAGTAGAACTGCTTCTGTACCTTGCTAGTTCTCTAGATCGATTCTCTGTTTTGAAGTATTTCTTTGTACAGAACTTAGCATATCTACACTGTCATCTATTTAACCGTGCACATAATCGAAAGGACATGGATTACAGTACATTTGAACTATTTAATTGTAATTTATGCAACCTCTGGGCTGTTTAATTGGGCGTGATGATGTTGGTCTAATTTACATTTTTGTATATTTGCTCCTAGACATTCACTAATTTGCGGCTTAATTGCAGCAGTATTGTAGTATTAGGTGAGTATGTTTAAAGATGAGTTACCTTTTGCTACACTTTATAACCAGAAATGAAATGGTTGCAGTAGGTGAGTGTGGCTAATGCTTTGTGCTCTCTGAACTATACCTTTTCTTTCAGTTCCACACATTTTATTCACACTCTCATGGTATTACAATTAAACTGAAATGATTTGTGCTCTCTGAAGTATGTGTCTTACCATATAAAGATTATGTGTTATGTTTGTGAGGACTCTGGGCAGTCCAGACTTCAGTACATGTTCCAGCACAGGACGTCGGTGTTGCAGGCTGAGTGGAGCATGGCATCCAACGAGTCGCTCTTCAGCATCCAGGGCGCCAGCGACCTGTACCCCGGCAGCAGGTCGTACTTCGACTTCTACTACTACGAGGCCATGGCGGAGGCGGCGGACTCCAAGCTGCTGTCCCAATGTATTGCACTGCGCCGTGATGCCCGTTCTTGATCTTGTCTTGTCGGCAACGACCGTGAAAATTAAGCAATCACCTGCATGCAGACTGGCGGAGACGTCGCCGAGGAAGAAGGACGTCGTCAACAGCGCACTGTACCAGCCGCTGGAGAAGGAGCACGAGCAGCAGCCGCCGCCGTAGCTCGACCCCCCGTGTCGGCCTTCATGGAGATGACGACGGAGGAGGAGCGGCGGAGGAGCGACACCGGGTGCTGTTGCTGTGGCTGCTGCTGGTCCGATTGCTCCTGGTGCTGTCGGTGCCCGTGGTGGAGATGCAGCTGCTGCTGCAGCTGCTCCTGCCCTAGCTTCTGTTGGTGCAGCTGGTGCCTCTGCTCATGAGAGAAATTGGCATTTGGATCTGACAAACTTGGTGCCAAATGGGAGCTTTAGATGGGTAGGCATCGTCCCTTGAGAGGTTAGATCCCTTTCGGCGCCTCCTACTTGTGTTTTCGGAGGATTATTTGGCAGATAGGGCTTGGCATGTGCACGTCAGCTGGAACAGTAGTATATGCTGAGAAAAAATATTTTTTTTTTGGGAAATAGGTTTGCCGAGTGTAATTTCAAAAAACACTCGTCAAACAGTAACAGTATGCTGAAAAAAAATTTTTTTTCTTTGAAAAATAGGTTTACCGAGTGTAATTCCAAAAACACTTGGCAAACAATAATTCTTTGCCGAGTGTATTTTGGAAAAACACTTGGCAAACCACTTTTTTTGTCGAGTGTCAAATTTGACACTCGGCAAACGCGATAAAAGACACTCGGCAAAGAGGGCTTTGCCGATCAATTTTTTGCCGTGTGTTCTTTGCCGAGTGCCGCACTCGGCAAAGACTTTGCCGAGTGCAATTTGGCATTTGTCGAGGCACTCGGCAAAGAACCTAAATCCAGTAGTGAGTGGTTTAAAAAGAATTTGAAAACTTGTAAAAACAAAAGTTAGATAAGATGCCTTGTTTTCAAAACCCAAAGGCTTGGAAAATGTTTTAAGACGCGTTAGAACGATGCCTCTCTTTTCGGGAATCTTTCCGACACTTTTTCGGGATTAAATTCCTACTTCTTAGAGCTATGTATTTTTCCTCGGTCAATCCAAAAGTCTTTTCTAGGAGCTAAAACCACTTTGGTTGTGTTCCTTATCCTTCCATCTATCCCTAGAATTTTTCTAGTATTTTTCGGAGCTCAGAGATATTTTTCGGAGCCTAATTAGTAATTCCCGATTTTCTGTAATTATTTTAATTCCGAAAATCAATAATTCCTAAATATCTCCACTTTCCAAAATCTCCAAACCCTGCGTGTATATATATATATATGTCGGCGTAGCCCTCGACGCGCTGATTCCGAAAATACAGCCTGTTTCGCGATCTGCCACTCCTGTCGTCGCAGATCGGACGCCGAAGTTCGGAAAAGTTAGGTTTCCGACAAACTTCCGGCGAGCTTTTCCGGCCAAATCGTCGCGTTCCGGCGTCAACCGTCACCACCACGAGGTTCGTCTCGATCTCCTCTACGCCGTCATGCTTTCATTTCCTCAAATACGTGATCCACTCATCGTTTTCCAAATCTCCCAGTTTCATCTCCGGCGAGAAGCCTCCATTGCCGGCGAGGTTGACCTTGCTTCCCTGCGGTCTTCGTCGTTTGGGGCCCTTCCCCGGCCATCCCGGCCCCACACCGCCACCACTCCACGCCCCCCCCCAGCGGCCTCGCCTTTCCCCGTGCCCCCTGCGCATCTCGCAGTGGAGGCCGGCACAGGCAGCGCCGTCAGTGGTGTCTGCTCAGGCCCCGCCCTGCGCGAGCCTGGCTTGGCGCCTGTGCCGTGGGCGCTCCGCACCGCCGTCAGCAGCGGCTTACCGCTCGCCCCTCCCTGCTGGCTGAGCCCCCTCCCCGCCCAGCGCATGAGCAGCAGCAGGCCACCTCCCATGGCCATTGCTGTTCTGTACGTGAATGAAGCAAGGTAGAAGATGCAACTATTTACGATTTTGCCATCCTGTTGTTAATCTCCGCCGTTTAATCGTTTTAGCTCCGTTTCAGTTCATTCAAGTTGCGTTAGATTCGTGTCGCTAAGATCTATGCAGTAGAGTTATTAGTTTTCATATCACATATTTATGAATTTATTTTATTAAAATATTAATTGTGTAATAATTAATTAATCGTTGTTTAAGAAAAATTGATTTAGGTTTTTGATTTCGATTCGATTGCGCGAGTTTCATCGCAATGTGTGATACGTGTTAGCAGCGTCATCCAATATAACAAATGTTTCTAAATTTTAATATAAGGTATTAATTTAATTTATATTTATTCAATAGCTTTTAATTAAAAGCAACTACTTAGGGTTAACTTCATTCTTGTCGTGTAAATCGTGCCAATATAGGGTACGCGTTAGTAGCAACATTTATCATGTCACATGTTCATAATATTATAATTTAAATATTAATTTGATTAATAATTACGTAAACTTGTTTCTAAATAACAGCAACCTAGGACAGTATCCACATTTTATAATTACTTGCTAATTAATGTCAACTTAAATATGTATTTATTAATTATAATTTGCTTAGTTTAAACATGATTTATATAAAGTCGGTTAAGATGCTTTTACATGTATTTTTCTCTTGCAAAGTTAAAATTTAATTTGATTAAATGATACGTGCATGTTTATGTATAAAATATGACTAGTTCAACTCTTTTAAATAAAATGTGATTTTATGTAATCTGAATTAATATGCTTCATATAGTTTGGCTCAATTAAAATAAATCAAGCATATAGGCTTTTTCTCTTTTATAATATAAAATCCCGATAGTTGTTTCTTTTTAACGATAGTTCCGTTATCGGTGATTCTTGCGTTCCCGTGATTGTAGCGACGATCCCTCTCTTTTAGTATATTATTTTAAAGCTTTTGGTTATGATTGGTGTATTATTCTTAGTTGTCTTTGCTTTGTCTGTTTGTATGTCTCTTTGTGCTTGGTGTTTGTTACGAGTAGAAGTGAACCATATGTAAGCGTTGGAGACCAGAAGTTGAGTGCCAGAAGCTGCAATATTGAAAGATGAAGTCTGAAGATTCTCTAAGCAAGTTGTTTTGGGCAAAAAGCAAGTTTAAGGAAAGTATAATATGAGGCTCCTTGTTACCTATTCAGTTTAATGCAATCTCAATTCATATGCATATGTTAATGAACCGTCTGGAGTCTATTTACCTTGATATTGATTATCCTGTCCTTGATTTACCTATGGGTTTTGCATGTGGGTAAGAAGCTGCAATATTGAAAGATGAAGTCTGAAGATTCTCTAAGCAAGTTGTTTTGGGCAAAAAGCAAGTTTAAGGCAAGTATAATATGAGGCTCCTTGTTACCTATTCAATTTCATGCAATCTCAATTCATATGCATATGTTAATGAACCGCCTGGAGTCTATTTACCTTGATATTGATTATCCTGTCCTTGATTTACCTATGGGTTTTGCATGTGGGTAGTATGCTCCGTTTGCTCCAACTAATATTAACTAAAGAATACAATTAAAGATATATGCAACATGGTATTAAAAGATGCTTTTTAGCAACATGGACAGAAGGGGGCTAGAGTATTGGGCCATTTTGGGTGCTCTAGTCTGCCCTCCGTAAGGACTAAATCTTAAAGTGACAAACCAGAACTTGTCGTATAGCCACGAGAACTACATGGCTCTAGTCTTAGCCTAGTATCTTGATCTGTTATAGTTCGTCAACAACTTACCGAAAGGGCAAGAGGGGGGCACTAGTTGGTATGTTTCTTTTCCTGCCAGGGTGTGTACCATGCCACGACCATGAGTGCCACTCCTGGAGGAGGGCTGCATACGGCTAGATGGCTGAAACCTTAGCGGCTGCTACTTATTAGAATGACTGGTGAAAAGCTTCATAGTGATCCCTGCCGACTTATCTTAAAGTGAGTCAAGAGGCTGATCACCTTGGGCAAAGGGCAATCACGACTCGTGGTGAAAGTGTATAAACTCTGTAGAGTGTAAAACTGATATATCAGTCATGCTCACGGACACGAGCGACCTGGATCCTTTTCGAGATAGATGGTTCTATGGATGGTTTGGGATATGATCAACCTTGATCTTAAATATACTTACACCTTGGGAGCTTAAGCATAACCTAGCGACACAGGTTTAACAAATAAAATATGACCAACTAAAAGTGCTTACCGTAGTTCAATCGTGTCTAGCCTTTTGAGCATTGCATCCCCTCATGTTATACTTCTTGAGTATAGTGCGCTCACACTTGCTTTACAATCAACAAAAATCCCAGATGGGTACTAGATGGTGATTCAAAGGAGGAGTTCCCTGAGATGTTACAAGAGTACAAGGCGAGCGCTCCCCAATCAACCGTCCCTGTGGAGTATGGAGTCCCAAAGAGAAGATTAAGAATAGTTTCTGCTATGCTTCTATAATAGTTGTAAGTTCTATTGTAATTATGTTTGATATATAATAAAGCATTGTTCTTGATATTCTCCATATTTGTCGCTATATGTGTCGTATGTACATCCTGGGCACACATATAGTTAGCACTTGTTATTCTTCGGAAAACCGGGTGCGACAGGATATGCATTGGGTAGCTTTGCTAGTGCTCAATTAAACCATGATCTTGGAACTTGACTAATGGTATATGCAATAAACATTAAAACATGGCTTTTTAGCAACTTGGAAACAGGGGGCTGGAGTATTTAACTACTTTCTAAATGCTTTAGATTCCTCTCCCCTAAGGACTTATCTATAAGTGATCATCCAGGACTTACAGTACAACTATGAGGGCTACATGGCTCTGGCTTTAGCTCAGTATGAGGACCTTTTCTAGCTTGTTAGTGGTTACCTTTATTGGCGTAAGAATGGCTTGCCGAATCAGGTATAGGACAGCCTCTACTCTTATGTGTATATCCATGATGGAATTATGCCATTCGACAGAGGGGTTCCTATCTCTGTTTGCTGAGTGAATCTAATGGCCCTAACTTGTTAGACGAACCTTTGAAAGGCTTCATAGTGAACCCGGTCAGCTCACCTTGGAAGTGTTTTGGGAGTAATTAACCCGGCCATATGGGTATCACGACTCACAGTGAAAGTGTACATCCTCTACAGAGTGTAAAACTGGTATATTAGCCGTGCTCACAGTCACGAGTGGCCTTGGAACATTTATGAAATAGATGATCACTAAGAATTATCCATTTATGCTATTCATTGTTCATGTTTACATTGATCATGTGTTTTACTTTTGGATAAAAACAACTTGTTGCTACTCTTATGATAAAATTGTGATAATTAAAAGCTAAATGTTGTTAAACCTGTGTCAAGCCTTTTGAGCCTCATGAACCCCATGTTACACTTGTTGAGTACAACACGTACTTACGCTTGTTTATTTTCATTATTTAGATAAAAATCTCGGATGGGTAACAGATGTCTATGGTAATGATGACTTTCCTGAGGATTACTAGACTTGTGGTCAACCAGTTGACATCCCTGTGATATGGAGCTTCCACGAGAGATTTTACTTTATACTTCCGCTACATATATGTGAAGACTATGTTCTATTATTCGTGATGTAATAAACACTTGTGATGATACTATTCATAATTTGTCGGCTTATGTGTGTGACTGATCTCTGGGCGCACATAAGATTTTGCATCCCATTATCCTTAAAATCGGGTGTGACAGATTGGTATCAAAGCCGTGTTGACTGTAGGACGCAAGCCTAGTTAGCAATGGTCGTTTTAGCTTCTTTTGCTTCACTTATTTCATGCTTCCTATCTCACCCTTGTTATTTGCTCAAGTTTTGTGCTTCTTTTGCCTCACTCTATTATAAAAATTATTGCTTCTAATCTAACTAGATCTAATTCTGTAGATGTCTCATACCAATAAGACCGCTCGCATCAGCACCGGAGGCTACTACCCGCCTTGTGGCTTGTATGAGTCCATAGAGCCACGTGAGGAGGAGGATCCTCAGGAGCAAGAAGTTGACCCGCCAGCACCTGCACCTACGCCTGAGCTATTCTAGGAAGAGCCCGAAGAAGAAGAACCCAAAGAAGTGGAGGTCATTGCAGTGTCTGATGACGATGAGGAGGAGGACGCCGTTCAAGAGGATGAGCTGATCCCTCCCCTGGGATGGACTATGAAGATCTGGTACAAGCCGGGGTGTGGATCCTCCATCTTGCACCATCGACTTATGGGGATTCTTCAGACTTACTACGCTGATTGGGACGCAACTGTGGAGTATGTCTGCAATGAGCATACGCACCCTCTAGAGGACACTTATTGGAAGACCAGGGTATGCATCTCCATCAGGGATGAACAGAAGGACGCATACCAGCTGGACTCGAACTATGCGCAACACGCTCACTGTGCCACCATGGAAGATAGCATAGAAGATGCAGCCACTGCAGCCTGCATGGGTATCCATGGTCGTCGCTTAGAGGATATGAAGGAGGACCAATATCAATTCCTCCCTCGCCAACACCCTGAATTGGAGTGGGCAATGATGGACCCTCGGGGCACGGATCCAACTACCCAAGTGATGGTACACTTTGACTGTGAGTCAGTAGCGAAGATTTGGCGACTAGAAGACTAGTTGAAGGCACAACAGGAGACCCTTAAGAGATACCGACAAGTGATAGACGAGCAAAGGGTGTGCCTCAACCTGCCAAGGATGTATGAGGAGCTTCCCCATAAATTTCGCCCATAGGTGTTGGAGTCCTTTTTATGTAATAGGACGTTAGTAGCACGGGTCAAGTTAAGTCAAGTCGAGTCTAGTAGTGCGGTGTGAACTTTAGTGTGCCTAGTTGATTTGTTATTATGTTTATGTGTGAGTTGGATTTTTGTAATGAGTGTTGGAACTTTGTGGGCATGTCCGCAAGTTCCATAGTTAAGAATATTAAAGTTTGAGTCAATAAATAAATAGTTGGGTTTGGTACA